TAAGTACGCAAGTACTTCAACAATAGATAATATCTAGAGAAAAAAAATATGTACTTAAATATATAGAAGTTTAAGAAAAAAATGTGCCTGAAATATAGGTATAAATAAAGAAAGAGATAATATAATCGGCTGAATACGTAAAATGAGTGAAAAATTTCTGAAGAAAAAGCATTAAGATTCATTATAGTCAATAATGAAATGAACGAAATCGGACGGTCGACGGTAGCGGTTGGCCAATTAGATAATTTTACAGCGCCATCTATAGAAGAAATTTGATTGTCTTCTGGAATGCGTGAATTGGCATTATTTATGTGTAGAATTCGATACAAAGCAGCGGAGTGCATCAACAGTTATAGTTCGGGTGCATTTATCTGAAAACCGGTAAGTAAAAATAAGCCGTCGGTTAACCGCGGTTTACCGGCGGTATTATCGAAACCGCGGTAAACCGGCGGTATCTATAAAAAAGTGACGACATGGGTACATTCACTCAATTTTTTAAATCTCAATTATTACACAAAGACAACATGGATCTCACTGATTATAGGTCTTTGAATTGATTTGTTATTTCATCTTTCTCTCTTTGGTCTCTTCTGTAGTTTACAAGAGCACATCAGAGTCAATTTCTCTATCGTTACCAGGTGACAACTTTCTTCTCCCAATAAATAAGACATTTGATATTTTAAACTTTTCCAAACGAGTCTGACATTGCTACATCATGTCTGTCTACCTTTGCTGTGTTTTTTTGCACTTGTCGCATCATCTGAATAATTTCCTTCTTTCTTTTCGTTGCGTTGTAGGTTCTATTCTCAATTTCCATCACGTAGATGAGTAAATTTTTATTGTTCATTCATTATAGATATATGTTTGCTTCTGTTTACGTTATTTCTCTATTTTCTGCCCTTTTTCGACTGAATTAGCACAGTCAATTATGTTTTTCTCTGGTTTGTTGTATACATCACCGTTACTTACTTTTTCCGTGCATTTCTATTCTTTTGCCACATATGTGAGCAACGAATTTGTTGGCCCTGTCGTCTCATTCGATTTCATTTCTCTCGAACTTTATTCTTGCCGTCAGTCAGACAAGTAACAGAGATTATTTATTCAAGTTGTCAATGTTTTCTTTCATGAGATCAAATAGTGACGATTCCTTATTATAGCTCATGCGTTGTACCATCAGTTCTTTTTGTGTCTGATATTAGCTTTCGTTCATTTTTCTTTCGTTAAATTAATGTGCTCATGTAGCAATATCGTCTCTAGCACTTCCTACTAAATTTTGTTCTATTCAACAAAATTTTATCTCTTCAGTCAGA